ACAACTTTTAAAGCGCTCCATGGCAATGGACCTAGGTATTTGCAAGACCGCCTCCTACCAAACACCTCCCTTCGACCAGTCCGCTCCCACAGAGAGGGCCTTCTTAGAGTGCCGTCGGCCAGACAATGCCGGCTGGCGACCCCCAGGGGGAGAGCCTTCTCTGTGGCAGCTCCTGCCCTCTGGAATGACCTACCCCCCCAACCTACGTACAGTTGCGGACCTGCGCCTTTTTCGCCGAGCCCTGAAGGCCCATCTATTCCGTGCGTCCGGCCTGGCGTAGTTTGGATTGTGTTTCAGTGGGGGGTTTTGTATGGGTGTGTTTTTAGAACAGGCCTATTATTCAATTCGATTTTAAAACAGAAACTATTTATTTATTCGTGGTTTTTAGTATCGCCTGTTCACCGCCCTGAGTCCTGCAAGGAAGATAGGGCGGTATATAAATTTAATAAATAAATAAATAAAGAGAGAATCTTATCATCCAGAAAGCAAACCAAATCCAGGTTGTTCCACTTTTTTATTAAACACCATATGGAAGACACCAAAAAAGTGCTACGATTGATAGTGGCCTAATTGTGTTACTTAATTTTAGCAAATTATATCTGAAATAATTAGAATGCTGACATTATTATTTCCAGTCATTTACCTGCTGGATAAAGTGTTGCTATCTCCATGGTAAGGCTTTCTTTTAGTTGACCGTGAAGGTGAACGATCTAACATCCTCTGAGTTTGAAATGATGGGTGGTTCAGACACTGCTCTGTTAAGTATCGGTCAGCTGGATCCAGTTTCAACAAGTTCTTCAGGTCAAATATTAAGATTTAAGAAACATAACATAGTAACAGATGTGGTTGCCACTAGTTACTGCATAATATTACAAATATATGCAACTGAAAATTATTTATCACTCCCACTCTTACATAAAAATGTTGACTCTAAAATCTGTTCTTAAAAAAAAAAAACACCCCACAGCAATCTTCTATAGTATAAGATATACATTTATATGCAGATTTACATAATTCATAAAAATTACACAGCAAGTTTCTTTTCCTATATGGTTGTAAGAAAATCTCATAATACCCTGCTTTATCTGGTTTTGCAGATTTATTACATCATTAACAATATATTAAAATTATTTAATGGGTGCCATTAAGGAAACAAAATTCGATACAAAATCTGAAAATAGTTCTATCTTGTTAAAAACATGCAGTGTTGATTTCAGGGAAAATGGGGGGAATGAAAAAAAAATCCTATCTCTGTGCCTTCACCATACCATCTCAAGTGTTTGAAGTAATTATATTGTCTGTCTGTCTGTCTGTCTGTCTGTCTGTCTGTCTGTCTGTCTGTCTGTCTGTCTATCTATCTATCTATCTATCTATCTATCTATCTATCTATCTATCTATCTATCTATCTATCTATCTATCTATGTATCTATAAACAATCAACATTCCTACCTTCATAAGGTCAAGCAAAACACCACTTAAAATTCCCAAGTATCTCCTTTCCAAAGATTGTGGATGGTTGACTGCAGGAAACTGTAATACAAGTTACATATAATTCACATACAGAACTGGCATTTACCAATCATTAAAATTTTGTTTGCATTATATCCTAACAAAACAAGAAAAACATACAAAAATGTTAAAGATAAATTAAATAATAGCTCAAAGATAAATTCCTTGTCAGGCAAATCCCAAACTGTGCTATTGATGTTGTAGGACAGGGGTGTCAAACTGCCGACCTGAGGACCAGATGCGTCATGGTGAAGCCACGCCCATCCCATTGCCGCCAATGGAAAAAAAGTTGCGATACGTCGCGACACATCATGTGACGTTGCGAGTTTGACACTCCTGTTGTAGGATAAGACTCTCTATGTTTCTTAAAAAGCTAACATCAGCTTTATTGGGAAGGAGATAAAAGTAGTCCTCGATTTTCAACCTCAGCTGGAACTTGAATTTCTGACACTAAGTGATGTGGTTGTAAAGTGTGACATCACATGATTGCATCATTCATTTAGTGACTGCACTTTCAGGATTTCCCCTTGCCACTGATAAGCAAATTTGACCAAGCTTAGATCCTCCCAGCCCTGAGCTTCAATAAGGTAAGGAACTGCTTCCAACTCCCCCACCTGCCTATCTCTCTTCATCTCTGTTCATTTGCAGCCCCAGAACTGCAGCACACCAAGAAATTCGTGTTGCAGTGTGGCAAGTAGCCCCAGAGCTGCGGAGCCCAGTAGTGTGCTGGAAAGTTATCATGCCCAGGAAGTTCCAGCAGCTCAGCGCAAAGCCACAATGTCCCAGAAAGCACCCCAGCCTATTCCCAGATGCACGTGCCACTCTGTACTCCAAGGCCCAGCTGATCTTTGCCACCTTGATCTCCCTGGCCCATCACAAGGCACCAGCTGGCCCTGTGAGGCCACCTTTCCCAGTCTCACAACAACAAGCATGCTATTTGGAGGACATGGAGTGCAATTTGGAGAATGGAGTGAACAGCTTTAGGGTAGGGCCAGGTTGGGCATGCCTTATCACCAGTGGCAGGAAGATGGCGAAGATCAGCTGGGCACGGCAGGGCTTGGGGCTTTGTGCTATAGTGGCTGATCATGGTTTGAGGCTTGGGGCAGCATTCCTCAGTGGCAGTTGTGGCACTGGGGCTGAATTAGTAACTTTGAAAGGTTGCTGAGTGGTTGTTAAGTCGAGGACTGCTGTACTGAATACAAGCAATATTTATCCATTTATTCTAATGAATGTTCAATCTATTAATTAATGAATTAGTACATTGTAATGTGCAAATTTCTCTAAACATGAATTATGAAACGCTACAATCTGAATTTTTCAAAAATCGTGTATAAATGGAGACAGGACAAAAAGCATTTCCAATCATCACAACACTATTAATGTGTGTCATAAATATATCCTTTACCACACCTGTAGAAACAAAAGTACACATTGTGTAAAAGCACTCCCTCTACCTTTTATCCTTGCTTTTGTCTATCTGTTTGTCATTCAGTTCTAATTCTATTTTAACTGTATTTTATATGATTTTATGATTTTTTTTATTTGTAAACCACCCGAACACTTAGATAGTGAGGTGGGCAGTGTGTAAATTTGATAAATAAATAAAAAAATAAAGTACATATTGGGAGAATTTTGGTAGAAAGACTTCATGCAAATTCACTACTAGAAAACATGCATGGTACATTTAAGCTAAACATTACCCGTAGGCCATGGAAACGGGGATTGCTGTAGAAAAGCTTCATTTGTTCTGCAGGAAGTGGTCCTAATACCTTCTGAATTGTAAAAAGTTGATCAATTTCACTTTCACCAGGAAACAGTGGCTGTCCATCACTAAGTTCCCCCAGAATACAGCCCACTGACCACATATCTACAGACTTGCCATAAGGGGCCCTGGAAAAAAAAGGATATTGTGCTATTGCTGCTTGATCTCATATTCCTATAACATATTTAAGAATTTTACACTGCATTGATTTTTAAAAAATAGAATCAGTATCAAAGATCTTCAGACAGAAAACACATACTTCCTTTTTATAGTTCATTCTTTATTTTAACTGCAGTAGCCACAAGCTCACATTTAACATATGAGAAAAAATACAGACAGTCTATATATTTTTAATTTTATTTTACTGATTGGACCAACTGCCCTTGATTTTTTATAGTATTTACACCAAGAAATAATGGCTCTGAAGGAGAAATTAATATTCTTATTGATTTTTCTTTCCAAGGAATTTAGAGTTGAACTGAACAAATAAAAATTAACATGTAGATTAAAATATATTCTTTAAATCAATTTTGCTTTCTAGTGACTTCATGGACATATCTGTATAATTTTTTGTGAATACATTAAAAGATTTGCCTTGTGTTTTTCCATTATTTTTACTCTCCCAATCCATCCTCTGTATTCTGATATACTAATGTAGCAGAATGAAATTATTCAATAATTATTCCTGATTAGCTTTAGTTTATTGTTCGGGTCATAAACTTCCCTAGTTACTGTGAAGACAACATTTTAGATCATTATACACAACTTGGAATTTAAAGTAAGGTTTTAAATAATATCTGTCCTATTCAATCATGGAATACATAAATGAATCATTGTTACTAACAGATATTGAATCACTCTTTCAATTTCCACATGCCATCTTTGCTGTATTTGAAAATATACATTAGCAATATGATCTTTAAATATCATAAATTATACTTCAAAAGAAAACAAATCCTCAATTCAACTCTCGCTATCAAAAGTAGCCAATTGACAAGAACCGCTTAAGTCAGTGATGGCGAACCTTTTAGAGACCGAGTGCCCAAAACCTGCATCCTGCCTGCTCCGCCCCTGCCTGCCCCCTGCCCCGCCCACCTGCAGGGCCACGCACCGCCTCCATGGCCCGCCACAGATCGCCCAGATCGCCCTGCAGCACCATGGCAGTCACGCCCTCCGCCGACACCCTGCAGCATCATCTGCATGCTATGGAGCGCGAGGGCGGAGTCTTGTCCCTACTGCCCGGCTATGTCCTTGGCTGCACTGCTCTGTGTGTGCCACGCCTGGGGGTGACTCCCCTCCAGGGGGGCTGCTGGTGAGGATGGGGCCTTGGGGGGAGGCGGGGCTGGAGCGATGGCGTGCATGCGTGCCCACAGAGAGGGCTCCGAGTGCCGCCTCTGGCACGCGTATCATAGGTTCACCACCACTGGCTTAAGTAATAATGAACTGGGCTTATTAAATAGACCAATACTGAGGAGAGTAAATGTGTATTATATATGTGTGTGTGTATAAGTATGTATGTATGTATTATATAGATAGTGTCACATTATTTATAAATTTATAAATTCTAAGTTTACTTACCCTAGCAAGAGTTCAGGAGAACGATACCATCTGGTGGCAACATATTCTGTATAGTTTGCATTGCTACCTTCTGACAAATTCCGTGCAAAACCTTCATTAAAATAATATTAAAGTGACCTTAACAAGTATTGGTAATTCACTAATTTATTATCTTTTTAATCCTGAAATTCCATATATAGATAAAGTTATTTCAAAGAGTAGAAAGAATAAAACACTATAACATATTTATTAACCAGAAAAAAAATCTTGACAATTTGAAATTAAATATTAAAAGGAAATGCAAAATTTATTTGTACTTGAAGATTACTTTATATATCACTATTTAATGTACATTAATGAAATGAAAGCTGCTGGCCCCACCAGCCAAGCCTCTCATCCACACTGCAGTCACATAGGATTGCGTAGAAGAGGTACTGGGCAGGGGGCTAGAGGGGAGACGGCCAGCATGGGGGGGAATCAGAGCCGCCACTGTCTCCCTTCCGCAGTGCATCCCCATCGGTGCGGGTGGAGATGGCCCCGGGATGACTGAAAGGGGGTTCTCGCCCAGCCCCATCCGCTCGGCAGCTCCTACGGGGACGGCTGCTCCTGCTGCTCCTGCTGCTCCGAGCCTCTCCACTGGCTGGCCACACAGGGAAGCAGGAGGCGGTGGCTATCCTGACATTGCCAGGCTGCAGCCGGCAGCAACTCCGAAAGCGAAGCTGTGTCACCCATCTTCACACTAGTGGGGGCGGCATCGGGAGGGTGTGGCTGGCTGGTTGAGAGGCTCGAAGCAGCAGCAACCGCCGCCCCTGTCAGAGCCTCTGAGCAGACGGGGGCCGGGCTAGGCATGGGCCCCCTTCCAGCCGTCCCAGGGCCATCTCCGCCCACATCGATGGGGCCCTGTGGCAAGTTCGCCATGATGCAGGACAGTGCCTTTTATGTTTTTGATTACAAGTGGTACCTTCCTTGACCACATGGTCTCCCTGAAAGTTATCAGTTCTAACATCGGACACAGGCGGTTGGAGAAAAAATAATAAGTCACCATTTGATACCTGCCTTCTTCCTATGGAACCAAAGTTAGCGGGTGGGTGGCTGAAGAGAGGGATGGTTGGGGTTCTGCCTGCTTTATTATGGGGCAGGCTATTAACAGGCAGCACACTCCATTTCATTACAAAAACTATTTTTAAAAATTTTAATAAAATGGAGTGGGCTGCCTATTAATACCCTGCTGCATAATAAAACAGGCAGAACCACAACCATCCCACCCTTCAACCAGCTGCCTGCTAACTTGCCGAGGTCCTATGTGGCCGGATGCATCTTGGTACGGCTGGTTTCCCTCCCCCCTGTCCCAGCCCTTCCAGCCTTGCATGCTTTCCTTTTCCTAGCATGACTCACTCAGCTGTCGGCCGACCGTTCAGCTCAGAGGCCGTTTCTCTGAACTGCTGGCAGCAGGCAAGGCAGAGGCTGCTTTTCGTCTTCTCCTCTGGATAGCTTTGGCAGATCCCCCTCCTCACCTGCCCACCAACCCTCTTCCCTTTCACTCCCCTTCTGAGCCTTCTTCGCAGCTCTGCCCACACAGACTGCTTTCCAGTTCCGTCGCATTTCTCTGCTGCCGCGGAGCTAGCGAGCTTGCCCCCCCACCACCCAGATGCCCTCGCTTTCCAAACCATTTCTTTTCTAACCTTTTTTCCAGCTCCTCTGTCACTTCCTCCGCCGCCATGTGCAGTCCCACAAAAGAAATAAGTTTGTGAGACAAAAAAAACCCTTCAAAATGGTTCCGCCCTAGGCGCCTGATGGACCCTGAGAGGTTCCAGACGGAGCTTGGGCCAATACCTGAGACCTTGACCCGCGGCTCGACTGAGGACCTGGTGGGCGCCTGGAATGGTGCGGCCGCGGGGGCCCTGGACCGGGTCGTGCCTTTGCGGCCCCTCACC